TATCGGGTAAAGATATGGTGTTTTCCAGTCTGATGGATGTCTTTCTAATTCAAGTGAAGAACGAAAGAAATGTGCTAGGGGCTTTGAGAGCTCGCTCGACAATCCTCTCAAAAACTTGGCCAGTATATAGTCTGGACAGGATAACTTTGCTTCTTCGAGGCTTCGCTGCTCTCTTTCAACAGCAGATGTTGGGATTAATAGAGATTGAAACGCTTGACCAGCATTTACAACAGCACGGTTGAAATTGTCAAAATGAAGCTCGGGTTCCCTAGTGAATGCCGAGGCAAAAAACCAGCTACAGTACTCATATTTCCCTCCAATCTCAAGGACGTCCACGCTATTATCAGCCTTGTGTACTGCGACTGGGTCCTTGTTTTTTAATTTACTATTAATAATAATAAGGTTTATTTGAAAATCACATCTTCGGCGCCGTCCAACACCCCGGAATAAACCAGCGGAATAAAATTTCAGGTTTGTTTTCAGCCTGTTGGGGGATTCTAAATTCATATTTTTCCTTGTCTGGCGAATAAATTTTTTAACACATTCCTTTGGCGACAGAATTCATCGAGATGCACTGGCGACCCAGTTTCCCTGAATAAGTTCAATTTCTCATTTTTCTTCTTTAATTGTTCGTTAAGCTCTCATACGCCAGACAGGGCGCCTAGTCGTCTTGCGTACCTTCATCGATCAACAGCACTTAATAAGATCTTATGCAATTGTCTTGAGCGATCTCCAGTTGTTCTCCGAACCCCCCCCTGAGCTGACAGTCCCAATTCATGGACGATAGCGCATTTTTAATCGAATTAATATCTTTCTTCCATATACAGGGTGTCCCAAAAAAATGTATACACATTTTCGATAATTGTAAACTTGTTGTTTATTATAATTTTATTATTTCAAAAACGAAAACATATTTAAAAGTGTCATTTTATTGGTTTTCACTGCATTTTGACTATAGAAACAGTGACTTAATTGAGAGAAGCTATTGAACATGAATGCACCCGATCACGAAGGGAATTGTTTCATAGTGTGTACTATTCCATTACTTCGCGTTGCCAGCAGTGCCGTGATCAAAATGGACGTCAGTTTGAGAACATTAAGTGAAAAAGGAATAAAAGGATACTGGTAGATATTTTTATATTGTACAATAACATAATTATGATAAACACCAATTTTACAATTATGTAAAACGTGTATACATTTTTTTGGGACACCCTGTATTTGGCTGGCCCTTTGTTCTCCTCAGACGCTGAGAATGGAATGAACTATCCTACATTAGCGTCGTATGATCACTCTTACCGAGCGGGAACTGGAGTGCACTTCATCAATAATAGCTGTATTTCAGACTGCAAAGTTCGGTCTTGGACTCTGAGGGGGTCTATGCTTATCTTAGTACCAAAGTATGTGGCATCGCTGCAAAGGGTCTTGATTAGTTTGACGGTTGTCTGGTATGGACCCAAAATTCCAAACTGTCGGCAATTTACTTCTTCCCTTTAGGGGATAAATCGGAGGAAAAGAATAGATTGACTTATGCATTAAAACAGTGTTTTTTTTAGGTTATTAACGTTTGGTAATATGGCGAAAATATTATGTAGAAAAAACGTTCGTATTTTGCCGCGCGGCAGATGTACGGAAAACAGAGGAAAGCAGACGAATTGCTTGGAAATGTTGAATGTGCAGACAAGCTGAGGATACCTAGACAAAAACAGCATTATTTAACAGACGTAAACCTGCGCACGTGTGCGCGCTCGCCGTGACAGGCGTTATAACCTCCGCGCGTAATTACGTTGGTTGCCGTGCTAGAAGCGGCATTAGTATAATTTTTTTAGTCGTATGTTTCCCCGGTGCAGATATCCAGCAGTTCGTATCGCGGCCACCCGTGAGCCCAATATCATGCACAGAAAAGTTAGGGTTTGCGACCTGCAAAACGGTTCTTGAATTTGGGGGCAGGAGAAAACTCCATAACTGGCCGTTTTGCTCATGGGCACTCTGGACAGGACAGTGCTCGACATGGCTGTTGCACAAAATTAATGAGTATAATAAATTTCGCCAGGAATAGGCATCAATAAATTACTTTGCGATGTCGCTAGTCTCATGAAACTAGTGGTTCAGAAGCTTCGGTTGAAGTCGATGAAAGCTGGTTAAATAATTTCATATTCGTTTCTATACTTCTTCATACTGTTTCAACAATCATTTCATATCAAAAAACCGATGGGAACATTTCCCAACCATTCATATACAAGCATCTATGTATAGATTCTTATCCTGATCATAGCACCTATTAAACCATTTTTTAATTCATCGCTGTTGTCAGTATTCGAATAGGGGTACCGATATTGGTAAGGAAAACATGAATGATATTTTCAAATCACTAACCATCATTAGTCAGCCATAACCGATCTCAGGCGTTTTGCATTTTGGAGTCGAATCCGAAGTCGTTGGTTATTGAGTTTAATGTTCTGCCATTGATCCAGGATCACGTTAACTATTCAGATTTGAACTGGAAAGTTAAATATGACAGAGCAGTGCCCGTTGACCATGTTTGTCCCATTTTGTCTTAGCATTTAGTCTAGATCCTTCGAAGGCAGTGGCATAGCGACTAGCAGCATATGCTGATAAAAGGGTACTGACGAATACAGAGGAGCCTGAAATGAACATTCGTGGCTCGTTAGCAGTCATCAGCCACCCATACCTAAAGGACAAGTATGTTCTGCAACCTGATCTGTGAGCATCACTCTATCAACCCGTTAAATACTAGAGC